GATGTTGAAAAATTGGCAGTGCATTTGTAAGTCCAAAAGGTATGACATTGTATTCAAAATGTCCATACTTAATTTGAAATGTAATCTTTTATTCATCTCTTTCTTTAATACATACTAGATTGTATGCTCCTTGTAGATATATTTTTGTGTAGATCTTAGCTTGATTGAGTTGATCAAGAAGTTTGGATATTAAAGATAGAGGGTACCTATTCTTCATGGTGATCTTATTGAGTCCTCAATAATCAACACACATCTGCAAAGATACATCTTTTTTCTTCACAAATAAGATTGGAGCTTGTGGTGGCAATTTCGAATGGCGTATAAAATTCTTAGCCAAATTCTCTTCAATATATTCCTTGAATTCAGCCAATTCATTTTGTGATAAAATATAAATTGGTCTAAATGGAGGTTGTGTTTCTTCTTGAAGATCAATTGAGTAGTCATAGGAATAATGTTCTAAAAGAATATCCACATTCTTCTTCTCAAATACATCTTAAAATTCTTCATATTGGCTTGGAATGCCATTGAAGTCTTTGCATCATTAGAAATAGGTGTGGCGAAATGACATAAGGTGATTCTTCTTTTGCAACATGGAAGAAAGTTCTTGCACCTATAAATACAAGTTTTATTGTGCTGGACTTATGACTTTCTACTGGATTACTTTTACTCTTAGTTATACTTTTAGAAAAATTAAGAGTACAAAAAATCCAATCTATGCAAGGATTATATTGTTCTAACCATGATAACTAGATTAGAGGGAGATATAATTATACTAAAGATTACAGAACTACTATGACCATTTATTGCTATATGTATAGGAAGTGTTTTATGAGTAACATCTCTAAAAGATAACAAACGACCATCTATGACTTCTACATAAATAAATTTAGATTTTTGTGTTAACGATATTTTATGACTTTTAACAAATTCTACATCTAAGAAACAAGCTGAGGCTTCTAAATCTATTAACGCAAAGGCCTTATAATTATTAGGTCCTAAATATACATCTATTATGAAATAAAGAGAAGATATGACCTTCATTAGAAATTGTATAAGAATCTAGCCACATAGTCCTTATTGTAGCTGGACAAATTTGTTTTCTGACACATTGTCTTCTTTGATAGTTGTGCTCCTCATTTTGTTGTTTTATCGCTTCTTTGGATAATGTTGAGCAGTGTATTAGGTTCTCTATAATATAAGCACAATCCTTCTTAATGGCGACAAGTCTTTTTTTGCTCGATAAGAGGTTTAAAATGTATCGCATCAATGTGCATATCTTCTACTTTTAAATGTATGTATTGACAAGATGTTGATATTGCCATTGAATTGTAAAAATGTTAAGGCCCAATTGTGCTACTCTCAAATTGAAATTCAAAAAGTTAATTATCACACTTCACAAAAAAATCAATTGTTTGACTCAATGTTTGAGGATCAAGTAAGTTGAGCATCAATTTTTTTACTTCATATTGTAATCGATAGAAAAATTGGTTAATAAATGCAGCATCATCCCACTTGATATCAATTACAAGTTGTCAAAATTGGAAAGCATATGATATTATAGATCGATTGTCTTGTTGTAAAATACAAATCTTATTGGTTGCAACACAAGTTGCATCATGTTTTGCATACATCTACCAAAATTTTTTCAAAAATGCCTCTAGATTATTCAATATTGGATCTTATCGTTCAAGAAAAGATAAAAATTACGATAGTGCTGAATCTAAAAGAAGTGTACTAATGAATCTAACTTATGATCCTAGAGTTGGATACCTTTGAAGTTGAAGTTCAATCACAAATTATACTTGATTAATAAATCTTCAAAATTTGGATCTTGTACCATCAAACTTCTTAGGCAAGGCAACTCTTAGTTCTCTAACACTTGAAGGATGTTCCACCGTGGATGGAAGGACATGATTTGGTGCAGATGTTGAAGCAGCTCTAATCATTTCTATATCCTCACTTCTTGCCATTTTTGTTGATTTTTGTGGTGGTAAGCTAAGTTGATGCATCGCAAGCATCAAATCTCTCAATTGTTCTTACATTTGTGCCATTGCACTTTTCATTTCAACAAGCTCTGCCATAATAACACTCAAAAAAATATCTTATACCATTGAAGACAAATAAGAGAAAGGACTAAAGACAAAGAAAATACTAAAAATAATATCAATTTAAAAGAAGGTAATCCGCAACTTCTAATATGTTTATGTCTTATCATGAAAAAGGGGTAATCCACTCTTAATCAAGACAAAACAAAGCTCTAATATTATAAGTATACTCTTGTCAATTTGTCAAGGATATAAACTAAAAAATGATCCATAATCAATGAAATTTGTATCAAAGAAAGAATGACAAAATAGAAATAAAGAAGTAGGTATATTAAAAAGAAACTCAAATGGCTTATTGCCAAAAGACAAGAAAACTTTAGACTCTTGAAACTTGATTAGAAATAAGAAAGGAGTTCACAAGAGTGAAGAAGGTTTCACTCTTGTCTCTATATATACTATCTAACCATGGACTACGTGGCAATGTTCTATAGGACCTCTAATATGTGTTGACTTTGTAAAATATATGCCTTAACTTACAAGGCAAGTTTTTCTACCTATGGGCCACATAGTTAGCTTGGTCTTCAAGCTAACAACATGTGTGGCACATGGCCAACTTGTTGACTACGTTTTTAATCCAAAATATCAATTATAGACACTTATAAAGTCAAAGCAGTGTCTATGAAGCTTCTAAGAAGCTTTTATAGAAGATATTATAGAATTAACTTTACTTTTATCTATTTATACAAGTAATTACTAGCTTATATGTGTATGTTCGTGATATTTATCCATCAAATAAGGAAGTCGTGAAGAAGCGTATGAGATCCTTTAAGATCTATAGGAATACTTCTACGGATGCTTCTATTAAAAATAGTGGTACTTTGGAGCATGTATAGGGAAGCACTACTTGGCATGTAGTAGAGTGAATAAAGTAGATTTGACAACAAGAGCCATGGGCTACAAAAATGACTACCATCGAAGCTTGTCATGCTGTTAAAAAGGAAGCATCACAATGTACAAAGGCTTTGTGTGCACAAGATGCCAATATAGCTCAAATTGCAAAAGTAATAGAGCTACTTAGAGCTGTAATAGAGAGGTGAGAAATTTGTACAAGAAAAGCAATGGAGAACATGCATGGAAGCCAAACAATGCTATTAAGGGATACAATTTTTAACCTTGCACGTGTTAAAAAACTAAGCTTTGAGTAATCTTATTACATATAGAACAATGGTTAGTTGTTTTTCCCCTCTCACTCCAACTTTTCTGAATTTCCACCAATTAACATCTATCTGCATTCTGTAATGCTACCTACACAATTTGATTTACCATTCATGGATATGCCAAGGAAGATATTTCTTGCAAGCAATGTGAGCCAAAGTCACATTCTATGGGGCTTTGATTTAGAAAGAAATGGTTGAAGTAGGGAGGATGTAAATTCTTCTTATATGGATGTAAATTTGACTATTTCATCTTATTCCAAAATTTTAAATTAGTTTTCTATACTAAAATAAAATAAAATAAAATAAAACTTAAATTTATTTATTTTGCATAAATTGTCAGAAGACCTCCAAGTACATTGCAAATATTCCTAAATCAATGCTATTCACCAAATTTTTAAACTTAGATCAGTTTTCACCAAATCAAAATGTAAAACGCTTATTCTTATTATTGTCATCACTGTTATCTCCTTATAAAGTTAGGTAACAATAAAAAATAAAAAACTTCCTCAATAACAAACTCATCCATGCTTGGGTTGTGCTTTGATCCGACTTTTACAAGAATCTGATAGATATATCATGCAAGTGTGTATTCGACTTTGGTGCATCCATACTACTAATAATAAAAAATTGTAAGTCCCATCATAAACTAGTAAACTTGTAAAATAGAAAAAAATATCAATGTCATTCTAGACAATTGAAACGATTAGAATACTAGCACATTGTAGCCTGTGCATGGACGCGAGCATGTTTGACCGAGGTCGGCATGAGCATGAGAGGAAGACTGGCTATGGCGCTACTTGTAACAATTCTTAGATTCATTTTCCTAATTAAACTAGACTGCCATCGCCAGTTCAGAAATTTTGACTCAACTGGGTCGACGTATTCAAAGAACTTGCTTGATCTGCGGAGGAGCGATCCCAGTGAGGACGAGGCCTCCTGGAAGTGCAAACCCTAAGAAATCGAACATGGACATGACGGTTCACGAGGAAGCCAGGCACGGTTTTAGAACACGGCCGCACACATTATCAACAATCCCTTTCCTGTGGTTTCTGGTTGCAAAGACCTTCAATTTCTGACCACTGCAAAATGACTTAGATTGAATTGTAATCACAGGATTGTGCTCCATGAAATAGACCACCCGGAACGACAGAACAGGACACCTTTCGCAGGAAAAAAACAGAAACAAATAAGAACAAAGTCCAAATTGAAGCTGAATTCCAGTTGACAACAGCTTTTCACACAAGACAAGCAAAGACCCTTTCTTGAGCATGAACCTCAAAAACGTTCTTTACCACAAGCATCAAAACCATGGCTGAAATCCAAATGACAGGGAAAATAGACATGACTATCCATATATCTGAAACTCAAATCCTAACACCAAACATGGTTTCAGTAACTTCATTGAAAAAGGCAATCTAGGCTTTGAAGATAATACATGAAAGCCACCAAGCAAATTCTAGAATGTCTAACCAACGCAGCTAACGCTATGAAAAAAACACAAAAAAAGATGCAGAGATGTGAGCACACAATTGAAGGTTAGATTAGGAACCTCCTTGAGAAGTTACCGAATGGGTCCAGATAGGGGAACTGATTGCGTGAAAACACGGATGGGCTTGCAGGACCGGATTGCATGGCAACTCATGAAGCAGAGTCGACGGACACAGTTGCCGTTCACAACCATTGTCCAAAACATACATCAATCCACCGAATATGATACAATTGAACAGAATGAATGGAACTCCACAGTGCGCGGCCGTGCTTTCAGAGGCATTGGAATACCAAAATTTACGGGAAATCTTGTAGCAGAGGACTGATTCTAGGCACCGCAAACTGCACGAGGTTGTTCATTCGCCTCTTTTTCATCTGTGCCGTCTGGGGTTTCAAGCACACCACACATCCTCGCTTCCACCTCCCCTTTCACTTCCCTTCGCCCTCCCCTGCGAAACCGTTGCAGCCGTGTGCTGTCTCCTCGCGTCCAATAGCTCGAATTTGCGCTAACATACATGTCGTGACATCGCTGTGCTGCATGCATGCAACGTGAGAGCGAGGAGCCGCGGATGGTAGGTAATCTGGTGGTATTTCTCTTTTTTTTGGTTCCGAGATTGTTACGATGGCTTTCCGTGTTTCGAATATAGTGCCCGAGGTGATGCTCGAAAGCCAGACAATAGGCTTGATCATAAGCTCGTGCTTGCTGTATCCTATGCAAGCGCGTAAACAATCAAAAGGTTTTAGGTTTTTAAGAAGATTGCACTTTGTAGATACTTTAACATATGATGTCAATCTAGCTGAAGTTCGAATTTTTTGCTAGGGACTATATGGTATTCCTGCGTTGATATGTACTTAGTATTTGGTTGTCTGTTTGTTATTTTTGAAATTCCGGCTGCAGGGATGAGGATTGGCAAGAAAATAACGGCGCATTGAATACCATATTACAATTGTATCCTGGCTTGTCTTGTGTGCATTCGAATTGCGAGATAGGAGAGGATCTGAATGATTTAGAGGACGGAAGAGTTCTTCAAGCTGGAATATGGTGAGAACATCTTCAAACTTGTCCGTCTAGATTCTTAGTTCGTTTTGAGGATTGAGCTTTTTCTCTCACAGTTGCAATCTGTGTGTGTTCTATATCTTGGAAGACTCAATGTTGTCAACAGAAGATCTGACCTGGAGCTCTTCCACTGCAACTTTAGTCGCGGGTCACATCTACGTTATCATCAATCGTGAATGAGCTGGTGTTCATTTACATGTATTATATGACCACATATTTCAACATATTTCAACGCTGTAGGAAACAAATTAAACCCTCGTTAAAATCTTCTTGAGTTGCATGTATTTTTCATCATCGGAGATGCGCAAGGGAAGGTCGTAAACTGAAATGTAGTATGCATTTGAAAATGTTCCTTGTGTAGAATCCAGTTGTTGTCCTCTCTCTGGTTAGTTTTCTTTTTGTCTTGTTGTTTTGAGCTCCGCAACCTCTGGCGCATTGTGGTTGGACGGTTCCAGGCGCTCGTTCCTACCATCATCGACGAGGGTAGCAGTTGACCTCCTCTTGTTGAAGTTGTTCTTTTCAGCTTTTATTTTTGTCCTCCCTAGCTCGCAGTGGTGTGGTGAAGTGATTAAATGCGGCGTTGATATCCCTTCCGGCGTCGGCTGTGCTGGAGTTGTGTTCTAAGTCCACGTCAAGGCCTTCCTTGACGTTGCGATCTGCGACGCGTGCGCGGTGCCGGATTTTTAGCACGAGGAAGTACACGTGAGCTGGAATAATCCGTGGATCAGTGAACGAGGCAATTCAAACTGGTAACAGAGTAGAATTGTTCGCGGCGTTGGTCTTTATTTTCTCCCACGTGGTTGCTGTTCTTCTATTTTACTCTTTGGCTGAAGGACAACTCGTCGTTGGATTCTTTGCTGACTGTCCGCTCCTATCTCCTAGAGCTGCTGTTAAGCATTGTTGAGGATTGTTGTTTATGTCCCTTTCACTTCACGGGCGAAACTGTTGCTGCATGTCATTACCGAATCCGACGACCTGCCGTGTTCCGTTACTCCCTTGAGCATTGAACTCCAAACTTTTAACATTGTTATGGTCCGTAGAGGGCATTTAATTTTTTTGGATTATGATATAAAATGAGTAATTTTAACATCGAAGTTGTTTTATTTAAATTTGTAAAGAAATCAAGTGTTGGTTTTAGGGTTATTTGAGATTGTTGGTTTTGGTTTAGAATTACAGATTCAATCTTAATGATGGAAGATTGTATGGTTTGTGGGACAATCTAAAAAATAAAGTGTTTGAAAAATATTTTTGAAATACTAAACAAATCTAATGTGTAATTTTCTATAGGTGGTGAAAAGGTGAAATTGGAAATTATTTTTATTAATCTATTATGGAATATCTTTTGGTATCATTGAAGCAATATATATTCATGATTTGGAGCTATTTCTATGGTTTTTTCATATCAAGGTCTTTAAGCAAAATGGAACAATATGAAAAAAAATCAAATATGCAAGGTATTTGTGGAGATACTTAAGAAGAATCTAAAGTCTATGTTGGAGCATTTAAGGCTTTATTGAAGAAAAATAACTTATTGAATAGAACCAATGTGCTAATTTGTGCAAGAAAATTGAACACGTTACGAAGGTTTTCGATCACCTAATGACTTGCACAAATGATGGATTGGAATTTGGACTTTTATTGAGTGAATTACTTTTCATAATCAACAAATCTTATTTTCTAATAGAAAATTGTAGAAAAGAAAATTGGTGTGAAGAAGCTATCTTCCAATTGAATAACAAAGAGACTTTTAGAGAACTACTTCTGGATTTAAAATGTTGTTGTGATATAGCAAGTGATTTGCTTTTGAAGTATCATTCTAACCAAGTTGAAGGCAATACTTTTGCCACTTTTAATTTTTCATCACATGATAAAGTGGAAGAGGATGTTGAGTTTTTACAAAAGATGTTAATCCAAGTAAGTAGAAAAAAAGATTTTGAATATTTTGGATTAGCAAAGCATCTACTACAAAGATTTGAAGACTTGCTTTGCATAGAAGGTGGACAATTGGATAATTTGAAACTATCATTAGACATGAAGAGTTTTGAAATTATACAATGTATAAATGAAGGAAGTTGTGATGAAGTTTATAAATCTAAGTGATTGGGACTTGTGTGTGCAACTAAAAAAATAAATGTTGAATTTGATAAAATGTTCATCAAAGAAGTCAGCATTCTAGCAAGTTTGAGCCATCCCAACTTAGTAACATATTATTTTGCAATGAAAGGTAGTGCCAATAGAAGCATTGAGTCTTTTGTAACAAAAGATAAAAAAGAGTATTTATATATTGGAATGGAGTTGATGCAAAAAAATTTGAGCAATATGTTGGAAGATGAAAAAGAGGTATCTTATATTTTTCTTATTGACATTATGTATCAAATTGCCAAAGAGATGTGTTACTTGCATGATATGCACATTGCACATCGAGATCTAAAATCTGAGAATATTTTGGTTAATATTGTGGAGTCAAAGATTATGAACAAGATTGTTCGACATGCTATTGTAAAAGTGATTGACTTTGGAATGTCTAAGATTGAAGTAAGAAGAAATCCAAAAGCCACAGAGAATAATTACATCTATGGTAGTCTTAGATATATGGCTCTAAAGGCATTGAGAAATAAATTTCAATCAATAGAAATGTGTCATTCTGAAGCTGATGTTTATTCATTTGCAATGATATGTTCTAAGATTCTTTCAAAAGAAGATCCATTTTATGATGTTCATGGAATGAAAGGGATATTAGAAAGAATTGAGAAAGGTGAAAGACCAAACTTACCTTCAAATTGTAATGATTTGATTAAAATTATTCAAGAATATTGGAGGTTGAATCCTTTGTATCCGTCAAAATTTGCAAATATTTGTGAAAGATTGGAATCATTGAAGAAAAAGCACTTAGTTGGAGTTGATTTGGAAAATGCTCCGAAGTTTGAAGCAACAAAAAATAACTGTCATCAAAATGTAAAATTTTAGCAAATACATAATAGATTGCCATTGGTAAGACTTGCACTAAAACCACAGAGATTATGTATCATAGTGATTGTATTGATGGTATTTGAAACTTGTATATATTCTTTTATGCCATAATAATATTTACATGTTTTACCATATGTTCAAGTTAGTAAGACTAGGTTGAAATGTAGTATATGCATCATTTTGATTTCATTGTTGATTTTTGGATGGATTTTTCAATTATAGGTTGATATATGTGAGGAAGAAATGTTTGGTAGAGCACAATATTTATTACAAATAAGACAACATTATGCAAACAAAGTGAAGGCATTGTATCTTATTGGAATGGGTGGAATAGGCAAGTCTACAATAGCAAAGGCTATACCAACTAGTGTAAAAGACATATACAATGCCTTGTGCTTTGTGGAGTACATTGAAAGTGGTGGTGATGGCTACGCAACTTCTTGCAATATTTTAGAAAATTTTAAAGTCAAATCAAAACCAAAGGATGTAAAAGAAGCTAAAAAAAAAGTTGATATCATTCTTGAAGGAGAACAAAACCATCTTAGTCTTTGATAATGTGAAGAATCAAAGTCAAATTGAAGTTGTTGTGCCTATGGATGAACTATTTGCTAGTAATGGTAGTACATTAATTGCAACAACTCGAGATTCAAAAGCAATAAAGTATGGTGGTGAAGAAATTTGTAAAATAAATATTGAAGAACTTGATGATGAAACAAGTATGAAGTTGTTTATCACACATTCTTGTGGTCAAGAAAATCTACCCAATGAACTTATTGAGGTAGGCAAACAAATTGTAAGAGCTTGCAATGGCCTACCATTGAGTTTAAAAGTTGTGGGAGCATTTTTAAGAGAGAATAAGAGGTTTAGATGTTGGGAGCGAGCTTTACAAAAGTTGAGGAGGGGAAGAGAGTTAGATGGAGATGAAAACAAGAGTAACTACAAGATTTGGAAGATATTAAGAATGAGCTTTGATAATTTGAAAGTTAAAGAGAAGAGTATGTTTTTAGACATATGTTATTTTTTTGTTATGATATGTATCCACAAGGCATGTCAAAAGATAGAGCATTGCAAATATGGACCAATAGTCAAAAAAATATCTTTGAACAAGATGTAGAATTTATATTAGATACATTGATCAACCAATCATTGGTAAAAGTAGACAAAGATGGAATTATAAGAATACATGATCAACTACAAGACATGGATAGAAATATTATAGAAAATGAGATGGAGTATAAATACACAAGGATGTGGAACTTAAATGTAGATCCATTTCATGGATTTGCAAACAAGGTAATTTTACTTAACAATAAACTAAATGAAATGTGGAAAATTAATGATAATAAAAAAGAAGTATTATTTGAAGGTTGGATTTTTTATTTAGTTACGTATATTATATAAAATTTATTTTGTTTTTGAAATTTATATAGATAGAAAGTTAAAATTTAAAACAAACTTATCTTATAATATAATTAGATTTGTATGTACTTTAAGTATATTTTTAATATAGAAGTTATAATCTGATAGTGCATTTGATTGTGTTGATTTGTAGTTGGAGGGATTATTCTACAATGATATAAACAATAATAATATAGATGAAATAAGAAGTGCTTCTTTTTCATCACTTCGAATTTTAAGTTATTGTGTTAGTATTTTTGCTCCTAAAATTGTGGTAAGAATACTAAGCAACTTCTTTATATTGGTGAAGCATTCTCTTACTTTAAAATATTTTTTATTGGACATGTCATAGAATTACAAATTAAAAGAATAATTGATTGAAAAAGTTTTGCAAATGCTACATGACAAAGATGTTTAAACAAAGTTTGAGAGTTTAAATATCTTTCAAGTGAGAAATTGCTCTTATATAGAAAAATTTCCAAATTTAAACTTTAGAATTCCTACATTATTGGAACTTGACTTAGCAGGATGCTCAAACTTAACCATGCTACTAAATGAATTGGAATATATGACTTCTTTGAAGATAAGTAATTTAAAAAATTGTAGAAGGTTAAGATTATTACCAACTTCATTAGGAAGTCTTTTTGCTTTAGAAAACCTTAATATAAGAGGATGCTCAAGCTTGATATCATTACCAAATGAATTGGAAACCTCACATCTTTGACTACCTTTGATATGAAAAATTGTAGAAGCTTGATATCATTGCCAAATGAATTGGGCAACCTCACATCTTTGACAACCATGAATATAAGAAATTATTATAGCTTGACAACGTTACCAAATGAATTAGGCAATCTTACATCTTTGACCACCTTAAACATGTCGAGATATACAAGCTTGACATCTTTGTCAAATGAATTGCATAATCTCAAATCTTTGATTACCTTGTATATTGATGATTGTCTAAGATTATTATCATTGCCAAATGAATTTGGCAACCTCACATCTTTAACTATATTAGATACAAGTGTATGGTCCAACTTGACATCATTACCAAATGAGTTGGGCAACTTCACATCTTTGACTACCTTGAATATAAGTGAATGTTCAAGTTTGACCTCATTGCTAAATGAATTGAATAAGCTCACATCTTTGACTACCTTAAATATTATGAAGTAACCAAGCTTAACATCATTGCCAAATGAATTGAAAAACCTCACATCTTTGACTTTTGTGCCAAATGAATTGGGCAACCTCACATCTTTGACTACCTTTGATGTGAAAAATTATAAAAGCTTGACATCATTGACAAATGAATTGGGCAACCTCACATCTTTGACAACCATGAATATAAGAAATTGTTACAACTTGACAACATTGCCAAACGAATTAGGTAATCTCACATATTTCACCACCTTAAACATATTGAGGAGCTCAAGCTTAACATTATTACCAAATAAATTGGGCAACCTCAAATCTTTGACTACCTTGAATATCGATGATTGTCCAAGCTTATTATCATTGCCAAATGAATTGGACAACCTCACATCTTTAACTATCTTGGATATAAGTGTATGTTCCAACTTGATATTATTGCCAAATGAATTGGGCAATCTCACATCTTTGACTACCTTGAATATAAATGAATGTTCAAGCTTGACATCATTACCAAATAAATTGGGTAAGCTCACATCTTTGACCACGTTAAATATGTGGAGGTGTGTGAGCTTAATATCATTGCCAAATGAATTGGGCAACCTCACATCTTTAACTTCCTTACACATATGGAGGTGTTCAAGCTTGACATCATTGCCAAATAAATTGGGCAACTTCACATCTTTGACTATCTTGGATATAAGTGAGTGTTGAAGCTTGATATCATTGCCAAATGAA